CCATCTTTTTTTTTTTTAGCTTTAAAGACCCAAACGAAAATACTTTTAAAGTCAATTTTCGCAATTCTGTTTGTTTTGTTATGCTAATTTGTCAGTAGAGAACCAACAGACCACTGACTTCATAATTTTTCCATCTAAAATTATACTAAAATATCCTAATAAATACAATTTGAATTAGATGATATAAGTTATCAGAGAAAGTAAACAAAGTACACTTATTCGGAATAAAAAATGTAACTACTGCCATTTGGTTCTCGACTTTTTTGAAATGGGTTAAAAAACATGCTTAAGCATAATATTGCCTATAAGATATACTTACTGCAATATTTTTCTTTTTCACTAATATACAGGTTTAAGTTTTGCTTTATAATGACTATTATGTTTTTTACAGATTTAAATATCTATATCAGTACAGAAAAGTAGAGCTGTATGATTTTTTGTTTTGTTGATTTAAACAGTTAAAAATTTAAAAAAAAATTAGTTTAAAAATTGTAAAGTTCCTTACAAAAAAAAAACCAGAAAACTTCCAGTGAAAGTTTGCTGGGTTTTTAAATTAAAATTATTTAGTTATTATAATAATTGATTATATATATATATATATATATATATATATATATATATATATATATATATATATATATATATATATATATATATATATATATATATATATATATATATATATATATATATATATATATAAAATTAAGTTTTTATTATTTTATCTATAATTATTATTTTTATGCAGGATAAAAGTGATAAAATGCTATTGGTTGGAAATTGATAAATTAATAAAAAATGATTGATTCTAATTGCGCGAAAATATGTTGGTATGTTTTTATCTATCTTATACTGTTTTATTTTTGCTTATCATTTCACATTTTGTCTTATTTTGAATATTATGTTTTATATAATTATTAGTTAGTGTTTGTAAAACACTAACTAATTTTGATTGCTTTTAGATTTTGGATACTGCCTCTACCATTAACAAATTAAAAATAAAAGAAGCACTTCATATTAAATGGGAAAATCCTAAATATAAATTTATCTAACTAACTTACTACATTATTATTGTTATTTTAATATTAGGAGGTTTATTTTGTCATAATTTGTAATAAAATTTTTAATTGATTTGTAGCAAGTTTATTTGTCCATTAATTTTTTCTCTGTATTGTCTTCAGTTTTTAAATTTATTTACCAGAATATATATATATATATATATATATATATATATATATATATATATATATATATATATATATATATATATATATATATATATATATATATATATATATATATATATATATATATATATATATATATATATATATATATATATATATATATATATTAGTAGAAAGTCACTTAATAGAAAATTTTTTAAAAGTTTTTGATGTAACAGTGTAAAATGAAAAAAAATTTTTGTTAAGTAATTTTCTACTTATTTATAATTGCTCTGTTCTTTTAAGAACATTGAGCACTGTATTTTGTAGAATACATTTTGAATATTGTTTAAATATATATATATATATATATATATATATATATATATATATATATATATATATATATATATATATATATATATATATATATATATATATATATATATATATATATATATATATATATATGTATATATATATATATATATATATATGTTCTTTATTTATTGTATGCATTCTTTTTTTTTTTTTTCTTTTTTTTTTTAGCTCTAAAGACCCAAACCGAAAAGAATGCCTAAAGTGGTTTTCAAAAGATGAATTGACGAATTTCTTAATTCTTTTTGTTTCGTTGTGATAATTTGTCGTATGAGAACGCTAACGAGAAAAAACTTTTTAAATATAGAAACATGCGTAATATAAAGTTTACTTATGCCTATAAAAAAATATGTTTTACATTAATTAATAAATTAACTTTTTAGTTTCTTGTTAAAAATTGTATTCTGTATTGAAGTTTATTTCTGAGAATTTGTAATTATACCTAAGATAATCTAATCCTACATTGTATTTTAATTTATAAAACTCGATATTTTAAAATAAATATATTACTTTTTTATCGCGCTTAACTTCTCTTATTTCGCGTTTATTGGTTAAAAAATTTTAAAATGTTTATAAACTTTTGAAACTTTTATAGCAAAAATATAAAATCTTTTTAAAAAAAACTTCCAGCGAATCTATTTTTATACATAAACATGAAAATTCGCTAGAAAAGTTCACTGGAAGTTCGCTGGGTTTTGGAACAAGTTCGCTGGAAATTTCCAGCGAACTTCCAGTGATCTTTAAAGATCACTGGAAAAGTTCGCTGGAAGTTCGCTGGGTTTTGGAACAAGTTCGCTGGAAATTTCCAGTGAACTTTAGAGATCACTGGAAAAGATCACTGGAAGTTCGCTGGGTTTTGGAACATTTTTTCACTGGAAGTTCGCTGGGTTTTTTTGTAAGGGATTGTTTGGAGAGAAGAAATTCCAGGTATGTTGGACAAATATTGGCTGAAATATGGTCACACAAGCTAATATTGACCAGTTTCAAACAGTTGCCGAGTTAGTTGATCCAGAGACATCTGAGCTAGATGTAGAAGAATTTATTATTAAAGATAAAAATTGGTTTTTTGAACACATCCGCACAAGTCAATACTTTATACTCTAATTGTCAAATGTCAAGATGTAAAACGTTGCTTTCAAATTAAAAGCTCATATTTCAATATTATTCCTTTGCAATTCTAATGTCCTCCAATTCCAATTATTCAAACAAGTAACGGTCTTCAAGCTGACAAAAGAGACAACAGTGAGTCTAATAAGTTTTTATCACTTTTTGTTTCACATAATATTAAAAGAAATAAAATAATGGCAAGATCGGCAGGAAGTTTCCAAGTTCATCCTTATAATCTCTTTTGTCCATCAGTAGAGACTTGTTTAATCGAATATGCAATGTTTGCCATCTCAATTTTGTTTCTTAAGCCATCTTGAAAAAACATGTTAGATTGCACAAAAATTGGAATAAATTAAATACTGTTCTTGAGAAAACTCAAACAAGGCATATCAGACCAAAAACAATAGCTGCTAGACTGCTAGAAGACAAAGAGAGCTCATGGTAGTTATTGCTCAAGAAAAATATGAAGATATAGAGTGGCTAGATGAAGATAAAGTTTATGTTTCAGTAATTATAATTCCAGATGAAGATTTAGAAAAAAACATCAGAAATGCATGTCTTGAATATAGACAAACCCTTAAATTCTCCATGGATGGATAATATATGGAAGAAATATATTATCCAACCACGGAAGAAATATGTTACATACTTTTAAGTGGAGAGCAGAGATTTGTGAGTTTGTGACAGGAGGGGGAGGGGGTTGAAAGTTGAAAAAATAGCATGACATTCTTTATGAATAACCCCTAAGGTAACTTACTGCGATGTACTTTATCCATTCTGTAAATCAAACTAAATATAACTTTAAAACAAGCCTGGCTTTCATGTAGAGATTTAGAGTAATTTAAATTCAAAAAAGCTTTATGTTGAATAAAATCTCCGTGCAAGAGAGAAAAAAAAAGCTTTATGTTGAATAAAATCTCCGTGCAAGAGAGCAAAGATCATACTTCTAGTCATGAATTATCAAAAGATAAATTTAGCATGACAAAAGTGCTAAATTAGAAAAGAAACAAAATTAACAAAAACATAACAAACAAATCTCAAAAATATTTTTTTTTAAGAAAAAAATAATCAAAAAGGTAAAAAATGCAATAGCGATTTGCTATCGCAATACGCTTATTCAAGACCTCTTTTGATAAATTTTGTTAAATTAGTTAAACTTTTATATTAGTTTAAAATTTAATTTAATTAGAACTTGATACTTTCAAAATATCAATAGTTTTTAAGCTCCTGTAACAAATAAGATATAATACTCACAGTATATTGAAAGTAAAGGGTTTCAAAATATTTGTAAATAGTTTTTTCCATATTTCTCAATATATTGGTGCTGTAAAAAAGAGCACCTATTTTTTTTTGATGAAGTAAGCGCTCAATTTAAGTGAAAAAACTAATGGCTAGCTTGGACAGGAATGGTGCGCAATAACTAACCACGCTTTTTTATTATTATTATTATAATTCGACCACACCTTTTTTGATGCTTTAACAATTTAAGTGCTATTAAAAAATATTTTGTTATGATATGATCATTTCCTTTTTTTTTTACTTTACTTGAAGGCTTTCAATAAAACAAAAAATTATTCATAAAGATTGTTAAAAATAAACGTATTTTGTGTAAACTAACAAAAAAATATTATATAATTTTGCTTTTGTTGGCATGTACTTTTTATGACAAATCTAAGCATTTAAACCTATTTTTCTAAATCTTTCTAAAAATCTTTTGAAAAAATATTCTTTCAAATTACTCTAAAATGACAAAAGAGGTGAGTTTTCAATCATCCGTTTTTCTCCAAAAATGAAATAGAAAAGGGAAAAATAATCAATGGGCATACATAGTTTTCCTTTTAAAAAATTAAAATTACGCATACCTAAGTGATCATTTCTCTCTCCCCTTTCCCATTTCGGTAAAAAAAAGCAGGTGAGTGGAAACTTACATTAAGTTAAATTAAATCTTTCTGTTGCAATGGAATGATTTAACTGCTTAACTTTTTTTTTGTTTCTATTTCAACAAAGATTTGCTTTAATTTTTTTTTCCATTTGACTAACTAATCTGTAGGAGCCTTAAATACAACTTTAAAGAAACCATTTAGAAAATAAGTTAAGTATTTTGTTTCAAATGCAATTAAAAACACTTATTTCCGCTACGAGTTTGAATTATAATACAAAATAAATATATTTAAACAAAATAAATATGTTTAAACAATATAAATATATTTATACAATATAAATATATTGCACAATATAAATATATTTATACAATATAAAAATATTTATACAATATAAATATATTGATACAATATAAATATACTTATACAATATAAAAAAAACAAAAAAAACAATCATAAATATAAATACCTGTTTTTAAAATAGATTTTGATTCAGAGAAATTATATAGAAAACTAATGGCAATAGAAGGTTTTAGTGCAATATTTATTGAAGTTTGAGCTAAAAAAAAACCAGAACAGTATAAATATTTAAATATATTTATAAATATGCCAATATTTAGATATATTTATAAAAATGCCAATATAGAATGGGCAAGTACCAATAGAACTAAATTAAGTTCACTCTATAGACGACAGAAACTCGCCTCAAGAATTATCTTTTACAAAAACAAACTTACTCACGCAAACCCATTACTAAAACAGTCTGAATATACATATATACATGTGTATGTGTATGTGCATGTTTATGTATGTGTGTATATGTGTGTATGAGAATATGTGTGTATGTATGTATGTGTATGTGTATTTATGTATGTGTGTGTGTATGTGTATGTGTGTATGTATATATATGCATATATATATATATATATATATATATATATATATATATATATATATATATATATATATATATATATATATATATATATATATATATATATATATATATATATATATATATATATATATATATACATATATATACATACACACATACACATACACACACACATACATAAATACATATATATATATATATATATATATATATATATATATATATATATATATATATATATATATATATATATATATACATATATATATATATATATATATATATATATATATATATATATATATATATATAAGTATATGTGTATGTTTATGTCTGTATTTATGTGTATGTATGTATGTGTATATATGTGTGTGTATGCGTATGTGTGTATATGTATGTGTGTATGTATATATGTATATATATATATATATATATATATATATATATATATATATATATATATATATATATATATATATATATATATATATATATATATATATATATATATATATATATATATATGTATATGTCTATATGTATATATATGTGTGTATTTGTGTGTATGTATGTATATATATATATATATATATATATATATATATATATATATATATATATATATATATATATATATATATATATATATGTATATATGTTATGTTTATGTTGTGCTCCTTCCTAAAAACACGACTAATTATATTGAAAAATGTAATAAGTAAAGAATAAAATATTTATGAGTATCTCATGAAATTGTTTAAAAAAAGGGTTCTCGATGACAAGACTTTACACAGTTTTCTGCGAGTCTCTTTGACTACATAACTAAAGGTTTAATTTTCCCTTTTTTTCTAAGATATTTTTAAGACTTTCAGATTCTAGAGGGAGGGATGCCACCTATCCCCCTCCCATATCACTACGTCAGCCAAAAGTCAACAAACTATGCTTCTATAACCTTCGTCAAGTCGACACTTTTCCTAACTCGACAGATTTCCTGCCGACGTTACGTTTCAATGAATTTTAGTAACGATTAGTTCAATGAAAATTAAAAAAAAAAAAATACCATTGTAATGTCTAATTTATACTTAAGAGATTTCTATAAAAAACATTTACAAAAAAAACGCGGAAAACTACTTATAATAATCTTTTTTTAAAGGGCGTATGTTTACTTGTGTTACATATACAATATATAGGCTGATAGTTAAGAGATTTCATTTTTTATTTGAAATAAAGATATATTTATTATAATTTTTCTTTAAAATATAGATAAACTGGCGGACCTGTACACGACGCACCCTAAACTCGGTGAAGTTCGTAAACGAACTCGGTTAAGTTCAAAAGGATAACTTTGCCGTTTAATGATTGGCTTATATTAACGAATAAAAATTTAGCATATAAGTTTTTAATTGGTGCTTCCTAAGCCTATTTTTTACCGCCTTTAAAATAAATAAGATGACACCTTTAGCTGAGTTCATTGAAAGTATCCAAGAAAAAAAATTTGTTGATTTTTGCAACAAAAGAGGCTAATGTGACTTCAAATGTTTGTCTATGTGGTCAAAGAATGGTTGTGCAAAATTATCAACGTTGTCAAGTGATTACTTTACCTTTTTAATTATTATTTACACATAACAGATTATCCCTTGTATCTTTAAAATACATTATTTAAGGAAAAACATATTTGGCGATGCAACATTTGCAAACAGACGAAGTCAATTCGAGCAGGATTTTTATGAAAGAAGATGAAACAAGATAAACAAGATGAAACGAAGGTTAAAGTATGTTTTTGGATCACAGGGCGATTTAAAGTGGTCTAGGCTAGATGAAGCTGTATACAGAGAATATTATGATTTTTATAATAAAAATGTTTGGGAAAATTCTCTGTAATGTAATATAAAATAAGTATTGTAATATAATATTTACATTGAAAGTGTTTCATAATATTTGTATTGAACTTGTTTTTTTTTTTTATGTACAACACAAAATATACGTTAAAGAAGAAGATAACTGTAGAAGATCAAGTAAAAGAAGATTAGCCACAAAAAGATATGTAAAGAAGAGAAGCTACCAGAAGATT